ATAAGATTACAATATTGGATCATCATTTGCCATTCTTTCATGAGCTTGGTGAACTCATCTGTCCCATTCCCAGGGTCAGCCCCTAATACTTAAAAAAAAAAAAAAAAAAAAAAGACCTTAACCCATTTGCATTTAATTGTTGCCACCCACCCTCCAGGCACTCCAATGCGCCTCGTGCTTCCACATCCAATACACGCTCACATGCGCGGTCGGTTACGCGAATGCGTTAAGTGGTGGTCCACATGGTGTGACAGCAGTTTCATACTGTCTGTCATCTCGCGCGGTTATCAGTTGCCATGGGCAAGCACCGAGCCCGCATCTTGCCGTGCACCTAATCACCCGGGTGCGACGCAGTATAGCGACTTCACCACAGAGGCAATTGCCGAGCTCGTAGCCACTGGCGCGGCTCGTGTTCTCCCAGCCCGAGCCAAGAACACCTATTCCAGTCCGCTGAACGTAGTCGTACAACCGACCAAGAAGCGGCTCATCCTTGACTTGAGGCACGTGAACAGTTTCTTGCGCACGTCCAAATTTCGCTACGAAGGATTGAACCGCATTCCCGATCTCGTCCAACAGAGTGATTGGTTATTCACAATTGACCTCAAATCCGGATACCATCATGTCGATATTCACCCTCGCTACTGGCATTTTCTTGGATTCTCTTTCAACGGTGTGGAATATCAGTTTTGCTCGCTCCCCTTTGGACTCGCGACAGCACCTTTCGTATTCACTCAAATGATCAAGCAGCTTGCCAAACGGTGGCGAAGCCAGGGCATTCGAGTTGTTCCTTACGTCGACGATATCCTCTTTATTAGTGCGAGCCATACCAGCGCGCTGCGTTCTCAAAGCGTCATTCTCGAAGACCTTCGATCCGCTGGATTCCTTTTGAACTCGAAAAAATCCCAGCTCGAGCCAGTGCAGCGCCTCAAGTTTCTCGGCTTACTCCTGGACACCAGGGACCTGACTTTCTCGGTCGACCCGGAACGACGCACTCGCCTTCTTGAGGAGATGCGCCTCACTTGCTTGGAGGGCACCAACAAGCGTCTCATCCCAGTTCGCCGCCTCGCGCGCATCACCGGCATGCTGGCATCCATGTCGCTCGCGCTCGGCACGGTGGCCCGCGCATTCTCTCATAATTTGCTTACACAGATAGCAGACTGTCCGTCGTGGGGTCACCGAGTCCTCCTTTCCGCTAGCTCAGTCGACGAGCTCCAGTTCTGGATGGCGCGGTTCGACGAGTTCAACGGCGCTCGATTTCATAACCCACACACATACGAAGCGGTTATATACGTCGACGCGAGTGACATTTCTTGGGGAGCAATACTTTCTGATCTCAAAACTAAGTTACAACCGCTCTCTGCTCCCATGCCCCACTCATTGTCCGCTAGCTCTAGCACACTCTGTGAAATCACCGGCATTCTTTGGGCACTCACCTCCTTTGCCCCGGGCATACGCGACCAACATGTCCTACTGCGCAGCGATAGCCAAGCTGCCTACTACATCATGCGGAAGGGAGGTTTCCGACGTCTGGAGATTACCCTTGTCTGTCGCGCGATCATCCAGCTCTGCGTCAGCTACCGCATCCGTTTGACGGTTCAATGGATTCCTCGCGAGCTCAATACGGAGGCTGACGATCTGTCCAAGGTCATCCACTACGATGACTACTCGCTTCGTTCTCCTTGGTTTCGCCTTGTCGATTGACGATGGGGACCCCACACAATCGACCTGTTCGCGACATCCACCAACCACCAGCTTCCCCGTTTTTGCACGCTCGTCTTCCACCCCCGTGCAGTCACGCAAGATGCCTTTTCCTTCAGTTGGCATGCGGAGAATGCGTACGCCTTCCTGCCACCATCATTGATCCCGGCGGTTATCGCACATGCACGACGCTCGCTCGCTAGGCTAACGCTCCTTGTCCCTCGCTGGCCTAGTGCCTTCTGGTGGCCCATTATATACCCGGACGGTACTTCATGTGCCCCCTTCATACTAGACCATCTGCTGCTTCCCCTAGGTTCTTGTCTCGAACTAGGTAGTGATGTTTGTGCGTTTGGTGGACTCGGGCTACCTAACTCGCCCCTCATTGTTCTTCGCATGGATTTTTCGTTATAATGAATCGTTCATGCATGGCAGGATCGGCTATTTGTAAACTCTTTCTGGACCTGCTGACACTCACGGTGGATCTTCGTGCCCAATCCACCATTCGCACGTATGAGCCATACTGGCGGCAGTACCGGGCCTTTTGCTCAAAGCACTCATTCCAATCGCTCCCGGCCAATGATCTCACCACAGCCCTCTTCCTCTTGCAATCAATCCGATTGGGTGCGACGCTATCAGCCATTCGTTCAATTTGTTCCGCCATCTCCTGCGCTCACTGGCTCCTAGGCGTGCCATCCCCTATCAAGGGACCGCTTTCCTCACACGTCAAGGATTACGCCCACCGCACGTGTGCCCGCCCCAACCGGGCAAAGGATCCTGTGCCCCCCTCCAAGATCTACGACATGTGCGACTTCTTCTTCTCCTCGCGAGACCCTGCCACCTTTCAAAAAGGGCTCATTCCACTCCTCATGTTCTCTGCCTTCTTGCGCTTCTCCGACCTCGTCACCCTTCAGTGGCATCACATCGAGTTTGACGCTGACTGCATGTGGCTCTTCATTCCCCGATCCAAGACTGATCAAAGTGGTGCCGGAGCTTGGGTTCCCGTGGCAACGTCGGACGCTCGCCACTGTCCCATTGCTCGCGTTAAGGAATTTCTCTTCTTGGCGGGATTCTCCCGCGTGTCCATGGGCTCCCTCATTCGCGTTTTTCGGCCTGGTTCCGGCGCGTCACCGTCAGACTCTTCCCCGTCTTACACCACTGTGCGGAACTGGTGCCGCGAGGCCTTTACTCGCGTTGGTTTGGATCCTACCACCCTCGGGACACATTCTTTTCGCAAGACGGCGGCCACCCTCGCTGTTGATGCTGGTGTCCCAGACCGCCTCTTCAAGGCGCTCGGGCGGTGGCGCAGCGATGGTGCGAAGGAGATGTACATCACCCAACTCGACTCTGAGTTAATTCGCGCATCCCGGCTCATGCAAGACCCGACTCGGCAAAGCGCTACCGCACGTTATGCGGCCACCGTCAACCGGGTTCGCCACCGTCCGTTGCCATGATGTTTCGTTTGTCCTATGACGACTGCATTGCAGACTCCTTGTAGAGTCTTGTCACAATATGAATAATTTAGAAATAAATTTCTAAATTTAATGATTGTGACAAGATTCGAAAAGGGGGGAATGCAATAAGGAGGCATTCCCCTCTTATCCCTCGGCAGGTACACGGACCTGCCACCTAGTCTCATTTCATCCATCTCAGTTTGAGTTCCCGCCCGCCGCACCCCTAGGACGCTTAGACGCTTCGATAGTGTGTACTGCTTGTTCTTGCTATTTAGTTATATATATATATTGTGTGCCATGTACAAATTGATGATGATAATATGACGACTGCATTGCGGACTCCTTGTAGAGTCTTGTCACAATTGACAAGAAAGCAACACGAAGAGGAAGAAATAAAAAGACACTCCTGGAACGGTAGGAGACAAACAGAAGGACAACCAGGGGAAAAGAGGGACAGAGAAATGGAGGAAGGGACGTATGGAGGAAGAGAGGAACAGAGGAAGGGAAGGATGGATGGGGAGGGAGGACGGGGGAAAGGGAGGACAGGCAGCACCACGTCTGCCTATGCTGTGTGACTCTGCCCACCGCCATCCACCCACAGCGCCCCAAGCAGCTCCCTGGTGCAGAAAAGCACAAGGGATGAAGAGGTGCCGCTGGGCCGAGGGCGGTGTGGGAAACACCTGGAGGGGAGGGTGAGAGGATCGGATGGGGAAAGGACGGATGGGGAGGGATGAGGAGAGGATGGATGGGAAGAGGAGGGAAGTGGTGAGGTGGGATGGGCGGATGGGGAGAGGACGGGAGGGGGTGGGGAGAAGAGGGGATGGTGAGAGCAAGGTGCAAAAAAACGGCCGAAACTTTGAAATTTCGGCGTAAACAACGGTATCGTAGTTTTCGGTCGTAAAAAACGGTTTAAAACGGTAAAACCATGTCATTTTGTGCTGGTGCAAAAAACGGCCGTTTTTTTCGACCGAAACTTTGAAACCATCGTTGTAACTCATAATTAGTGGATTTTTAAAGGGGATAGGAATTGCTTGCCGTTTTCACTGTCGATTTCCGACATGCGGCTCGTTGAATTTTCTCGAGCCGCGAATTCAGTCTGAACCGAGTCGCGCATTTCAACATTTGACGACAGGATTACATGTTTCGCCACATGCGGACCGTTTTCGCGCCAGCTGACAATGTGTTATCTCGCATACAGAGGGTGTCGCAATTTTCGCGCAATGCTAATGCAAAGCGCGACCAATCAGAACACCCCTACAGTGTTGGTCGAGTCGCCCCGAATGCAGCATTTCGCGATCGCGAACCGAAGACATTACCCGCTTCGTTAATTTTTCAAATTTTCGCGCTAGAAGCGAAAATGTTTCGCGCATGCGGGGTGTGTCGCAAAGCGCATGCCACTCGAGAGTCGCGACCAATCACAGCAGCCCAAGCCCAATCTTCCGAAGTGAGTTGCTCATCCTCAACTCGACAATGCACTTCAGCTCCCGAAGTACAAAGAGGCTCTGTCCAGGGCCTCTTAACTCATAGCCACTGAGGCTATTCCAGCACTCTCTCTATCAGATTAGCCACCCCAAGCCTTGCACCATGGTTCGACCGCAGTCACGCTATTGGCTGCACGTTAGGAAAGAGACGGTGGAAGATGGTACAATCACTAGCTGCGTGTGCCTTCACTGCCATTTGCCGGTAACCCCAGACGCAACTAGAATTGGGGAGCACCTTTTAGGCACTCCAAGCTCCAAGCATAAGAACATAGCGATCTGCGAATCAGATTATGCGAAGCAGCTGCCAGCGTCGTCCGTCAAGGAGCGTTCGTCCTTCGAAGACGGCTCTAATGGAGAGTCTACGTCCACTATGGAGGTGCAGTTACCCCGGCGCTCACCGCAGCGGGACATTCGGGAGATGGCCGACGTGACAGCGCGCGGACGCTTGGACTACCTGTGGGCGGCTGCTGTAGCGGAAAACGACCTGGCGTTTAGGACGTCTTCGTCTAAGGCGATGCAAGCGTTTGTGGATGCAGTCGCCGCATTTGGGAAGGCCTACACCTTACCTTCGGCATACAAGGTGGCGGGCCCACTTCTTGTCAAGTTGAAGCTCGACACGGAGGAGCTCATCAAGCCAATCAAAGAGAGTTGGCCGAGAAGCGGATGCACCCTCACGATGGACGGTTGGACGTGCCTCAAAAGCCGGGGCATGATTTGCGTCATCGCCCAAAACGACACCGCGCCGGTGATTGTGGGCTGCGTCGACTCCAAAACCGCGAAGAAAACTGGAGAGTACCTCGCGAAGCTCATCCAACATGCGATTTGCGAGGTGGGGGACAGCCACGTTGTCCAAGTCATCATGGACAACGCGGCTAACAACAAGCGCGCGGCAAACTTGCTCAAGGACGAGTACCCGCAAGTCTTCTTCACCAATTGTGCGGCCCACGTCTTGGACCTCATGCTTCACGATATGGGGAAGGTCAAGGCGGTGAAGAGGGTCCTCAACCAGGTGCATCGGGTTGTGATGATGGTCAAGGGGAGTGCCTCGGCCGTCACACTTTTCCGTGAGTTGTTTAGCAAGCTAGAGCTTGTCCGCCCTGGTGCTACTCGTTTTGGAACGCAAGTGATCATGATCGAGCGTTTCCTTGAGGTTAAAAAGGCATTGAAGGAGATGGTGATTAGTGAGGAGTGGAAAAGTGTAGCGGTGGCGAACACGGAGGAGGGGCAGGCTATACGTGGTCTCCTCTTGGAGGAGACGTTTTGGGACTCCGTCACGGCCATTCTCGGCCTCATGAAGCCCATCTACGAGGTGCTACGCATCGTTGACCGGCGGTCCCTTGTGATGGGGAGCGTCTACGGCCTCATGCTTGAGGCTACGGTCAAGACCAACGAAGCGGCAACGAAGGCGGGTAAGTTCAACGTATTAGACATATGAATCAATTAGTTCAACGATTCTGTCCCTACCCTACACCAGCCACTCCGACGCTATTACTCACCATGAATTTGTTGCTCTTACCGCGTGCGCAGCTGCCCAACTCTCCAAGAAAACCAGTTTGCTTCCGGGAAACAAGAAGGTCGCGTTTCTTGCTGCGTTTAAGGCTATCATGGCCAACCGATGGGACGGACAGCTGCACAACCCCCTCCACGCCTTGGGGTAGCTTCTAAACCCGAAGAATCGGTACGTAGGCGAGATTCGGGAGGATGCGGAACTGAGGGCGGGGGCTGAAGAGGTGTTTAAGGCAAGGGGGGGCAGTGTTGAGATGCGGACGATGCTAGCGGTGCAACTAGCCGCTTTTCACAAGAGAGAGGGGAAGTTGGGGTCTGTGGATGCGCGGTGGGCTGCCACCATCTTGGTGGAGAGCGGGAGGCTTTCCGCGGCTGAGTGGTGGGCGCTGTATGGGGTTGAGGTTCGTGCTTTGCAAAAGATTGCGGTGATGTTGCTCTCCCAGCCCGTGACTTCATCCGAGGTCGAGCGGTACTGGTCCGCTCTCGCAAGGGTCCAAAGGCGGGACCGCAACCGGCTGAATGCCACGTCCATGACGGACGTGGCATTCGTGGCATTTGGCCGGCGAGCTCGGGAGTCCTATGACAAAAAAACAGAGGCCCGTGCTAAGCTCTACAGCGAGTTGAGCAATGGATCGCTGCAGGAGGGCAGCACAAGCGTGCTTCTTTCTCTTCCGGTGGAGGCGGAGGTGGATGAGGAGGAGGAGGCGGGGGGGGAGCCGTGTACCATTGACTGGGACACCTTCGGGAACATTGGCAAGCGGGTGACCAAAAGGAAGCGCGCAAATCTGAAGAAGAAGAAGAGTGCTTCCAAGGGCAGCGGGTCCCGCAAGGGGAAGGAGAAGGTTTGTGAGGAAGACGAAGAAGAGGCGGAGGATGGGAGCAGTGATGATGGCAGTGGTCCGGATGAACCAACCAAGCGGAAGAACAAGGGGGTGAATGCGTGGGATTGTAGCGACGGGAGTAGCGGGGAGGAGGAGGATGACGAGGAGGATGAGGAAGAGGAGGAGGATTAGGACTAAGTAGGAGGAGGGGGCTGAAGGATAACTTATCGGTAAGTGGAGGGGGCTGAAGGATAACTTATCGGTAAGTGGAGGGGGCTGAAGGATAACTTATCGGTAAGTGGAGGGGGCTGAAGGATAACTTATCGGTAAGTGGAGGGGGCTGAAGGATAACTTATCGGTAAGTGGAGGGGGCTGAAGGGTAAGGACTAGGTAAGAGGGGGTAGAAGGAGTAGGAGTAGGTAGTTAGGAGGAAGGAGGAGGGACCTGACTGTGTTTGCTCATTTCTGACTAGTTTTTAGCATGTTACAAACCGTTTGTATGCTGCCCTGTTCTGGAATCATCTATGAACCCTTACTGTTTTTTTTTTTTTTTTTTTGGCACAAAAATCTCCAACAAAAAAACGGCCGAAATTTTGAAAAAACAGCGTAAAAAACGAGCGTTTTAAACGGCGCGTATTTTACCCCAACCGAAATTTTGAACCTTGGGTGAGAGGAGGGGATGGGGAGAGGAGGGGACGCGGTGACGAGGGAAGGGGAAAGAAGCGGATGTGTATAGGAGGAGATGGGGTGAGGAGGAGATGGGGTTAGGAGTATGGTGAATGGGGTATGGTGGAATGGTGAAAGTAGGCATGGGGAATGGAAGGATGGGGAACGGAGGGAGAGTGAATGACGGGATGAGGAAAGGAGGTCTGGGGAAACGAGGAAAGGGGGATGGGAAGTAGGATGTCAGGGCGAGAGGAAGGGATTGAGAGAAGGGGGGAGGAAGGGCGGAAGAGGGGGATGGGAAGTAGGAAGAGGTGGGAAATGGCGACGTGTGACGATGCCACGGGGTGCAGCGGAGATGGCGTGAGGCATGGGGAGATGAGGGATGGGGAGGTGAGGGATGGGGAGGTGAGGGATGGGGAGGTGAGGGATGGGGAGGTGAGAGATGGGGAGGTGAGGGATGGGGAGATGAGGGATGGGGAGGTGAGAGATGGGGAGGTGAGGGATGGGGAGATGAGGGATGGGGAGATGAGGGATGGGGAGATGCGGGATTGGGAGATGAGGGACGGGGAGGTGAGGGAAGGGGAGATGATGGATGGGGATATGCGGGATGGGGAGATGAGGGATGCGGAGATGAGGGATGGGGAGATGAGAGATGAGGAGGTGAGGCATGGGGAGGTGAGGGATGGGGAGATGAGGCATGGGGAGACGAGGGATGGAGAGATGAGGGAAGGGGAGATGAGGGATGGGGAGATGAGGGATGGGGAGACGAGGGAAGGGGAGATGAGGGATGGAGAGACGAGAGTGTGGGGTGTGGCGTAGCAGGAGGAAGGAGAGTTGCAAGGCGCGGGGAGTCCCCATTCTCGTTAGAGGGGAGGGAGCGTGGGCGACGGGAGGGAGGGAGCGGTAGTAGTGACGGATGGGTGTGCGCGTACATGACGTAAGGGGAGTGAGCATGAGCGAGGGGGAGGGGAGTGAGCGTGGGCGACGGGAGGGGAGTGAGCGTGGGCGACGGAAGAGAGTGAGGAGGGGCGAAAGAGGCGTCGCGCAAAGGCGACGGGAGGGGAGGGAGCGTGATCGTGCGTCAGGAAGGAAGCGTGGGCGACGGGAGGGAGTGATCATCCTCTTTGGAGGGGAGGCGCGAAGGCGACGGGAGGGGAGTGCGCGAAGGCGATGGGAGGGGAGTGCGCGAAGGCGACGGGACGGGTGTGCGCGAAGGCGACGGGAGGGAAGTGCGCGAAGGCGACGGGAGGGGAGTGCGCGAGGGCGATGAGAGGGAGTGAGCTATGGCGATGGAGGGAAGTGTGAGACATTGGCGCGAGAATGGTCGCGTGGGCGACGGAGGGGAGTGAACATAGGCGACGGCGACGAGTAGCGTGCATTTTCAAACCAATCTACACACATGGCTTCGCTTTCTAACCCCCTCCAAGCACCAAACTCGTGGTGCAGTGTCGCACAGTTGGGTGACGAATGCTGAAGCTCGTCGCTGCCTGGTTTTGCTTCCGCACCTGTTCAGCTCTCGAAATGTTTTTTTTTATGCCTTTCGCAAACACACTTAAAGCCCCCGCGTCACTGTTGCAAAAACCATGCTGACCTCGGGCTTTAACTGCTCTAAATACATAAATACATGTTCACCAGCAAGCAGGAGGCAGGACAAAAGAGTAAGAGCTGCTAAACTTCACTTGCGGAGGTGCCTGAACCCCTCGTCTGTGAAGGGTTGTCACAAGCACATCTTCAAACTTGCGAGCCTGCAAGAATGAGCGTACAGGGATCTCAACACATTCATTTTTGTTACCATGGGGGGATGCACTGGGGTGCGTTACAGTGAGGCTAAGAATTAATTATACATGAAGCTGACACTACTACCATTGTCGTACCACAAAAAGAGATGTACCCACCTGCTGGACAACTAAGGGATCTTTCCCTGGAGAAAGTGGAGCCGTCAAAACAGTGAGAAGCCCGTTGCGGTTGCCAAACACAATGTCTGTCAGACACCGATCTCCAACCTGCCAACAAGTGGAGGTGTACCATATCAGAATGGGTGAAAACCTACCAAAACAATATGTAGCAATGCTCGATGCTTAGTGGGACACAGCATAAAATTATTGAAACCCTAGCTGGCTGGCATACAACTGCCATCCAGGCTGGTAACTCTACTAGGTCCCAGGCCATCGACCTTGCATCCTAGATGTGCCTCCAACTTCCTTCTTGCAGCACCTTCAAAGTTCACGAGAAATGAAACCTTTTATCCTTTCTTCCTGGCACTAAAAGAATCTGACGCAGTCACTCACCATAACCATCTCCTCTGCTCTGCATCCGAAGTGTGTCTCCAGCTCTGCTGCTCCCCCACCAGGTTTCTTCTCCGAGTGAAGAATCACAGGCACCCCCAGGGCCTGCTCCATTGCTGCTGCCAAGGAGCCATCAGGGTCGTACTGCTTCAACCCTGAACTGGAGGGTAGGTTGGGATTCAAATGGGGGGAGAATAAAAATCGATGGCATAAAACAATAGGATTATTTGAGCAGCCATTAGGGTCATATTGCTTCAACCCTGAACTGGAGGACAGGTTGGGATTCAAACGGTCGGGAAACATGGGAGCAGGGAGGATTGATTGATAAAAGATTTTTGTTAGATAACCCAAGCTTGAGCACCATATTCTTTTAAAGTTTTTTTGGAGACATGAGAGCCCATGGCAACCTTCTTGTCCTATTCAATTAAAGCCCATCCCTCCCCCCCTCCCCACCAACCCATGTTCATCGGACACCTCTAGACATTGCACCGACCAACCTGCAGAGTTGCTCAGGATGGCAATGCCTCTCGATCCGAAAGTCTTCCGACACAAATCCAGGGAAGCTACCAGCCCATCCTCCACCTGCTTTGGCCGAGCCACATGTGGGATGGGGATGTGCTGACGGTTTGTGAGGCGCCTCTTGAAGGCAATCCCTCGTAATACGAATGTCCACCAGCACACATCCAGGGAAGCTACCAGCCCACCCTCCACCTTCTTTGGCCAAGCCACATGTGGGAAGCAAGGGGGGCTTGGGATGAGCTGACGGTCTCTGAGACGACTACAAAATAACCGCCAGTGGGATGTTTGAATGGATGGGGAGGAGAGAGGCATCAAAAGGCAACATGCGCTTGCTGAGATGAGCTGACGCAGCAAAAGGCTGATCAAGAACACGCTCGTGTCTGTACTACTTTACGCATGAGGGAGGGAGGGGGGAGCAGAGAGGGAAAGGGGGGTCAAAAGAAGTTGGGGGGAGCGAGAAGGGAGGAGTGCGACCAGCAAATCAGAGACCAGTAAACTGGTTGAGTAGAGTAAATAGATTTTGAATTGAAGGGAATTCCGAATGGCACTAATGAATGCAATGAGTGAGACAGAGCTAAATGCTGCATGGCTTACAAGAGGTTGGGTTGAGTCACCTGCATCTGGTACGGAAGTGTGAGTGTGCTATCCTTTGTCAAACATCACTGCATGACTCACGGGAGGATGCTAGAAACTCATGGTGGTGCATGCCTGTTTCATTCTCAGCTGCATTTTGCACAAAAGTGTGAGTGTGTAATCCCAGTCAAACACCACTGCATGACTCATGGAAGGTTGCCAGGGTGATCGAACTCACCTGGTGAAAGGTCTTTTCAACTCACCTGCATCACGTACGGAAGGGTGAGGGTGCTATCCCTGTCAAACACCACTGCATGACTCGCGGGAGGATGCTAGAAACACCTGGTGGTGCATGGCTGTTTCAAACTCACCTGCATATTGTACGGGAGTGTGAGTGTGTTATCTTTGTCGAACACCGCTGCCTTGAACCCTGCTGCGTGAAGGGCCTTCCAATCTATCCACCTGTTTCAGGGAAGCAAGAAACCATAAATTCAATAAAAATGCGATGAGACCGAGGACGGAATCGGAAGGTGAACTGAAGCGGAAATGATAATGACATTCTTTTAGAATTTATTCGATGCATATCAGGCATGATTCTAGCCGTACCTGATATCAGGCACGGACACATGCGGCACGGCGAGGCTCGGATTCGAAACGGCCACGCTCGCCACAGCCGTGACTCCTTGCAGATTAAAACTTTGCCCGAGCTTCGCCCAGAGGCTCGGCGAATGAGGCTCGGACCCTTCCGAACAGCTTTCCGAAGCAGGCGTCTCTCCCGAAGCTCTGGTTCGGAAATTCCTACGCGTTGGGCTTTTAGCTTTCCGAGCAGAGGATTGAGGAGACATGTTGCTAAAAGATCGTACCGGGCTGAACGAACGCGTCTGAAACGGTCGTAACCGCTGAAATTGATGGCAAGCTGCGTGACCGTACGATTTGGCTTTAAAAGCTTCGAATATGAAAACGTTAGGAGTGCTGAGGGCTTTGATCGAAGCACGAGAAGAGAGCAGAGCGGGTCTGGCGCAGGAGACGGACGAGGCTATCGATGCCATAAGCCTTGGAGGCGGAATGCCGCAGCTCGAACAGGGATGCTGCGAGGCAATACAGGCTAACACAGCGATTGTAGCTAGACAAGGCTGATGAGTGGACGGAATCCACAGCATCCCTCCCCACATGATACTCTGGATTTGTGTAGTTTAGTGCTTGTGTTGCAGAACCTTACTCAATCGTTCAAGAACTTTGAAAGATCCGTTTCAAAGGCAAAGCATCTCACTCAACCGCACGAGGATTTCGAGACATGAGAATATGCTCGTTGTTACTCGTTCAAGGCTTCGCTTCGCACTCGCCAACAGATGCGTTGAATTGCAGGATTCGACATGATATATAACCCTATCATAAGCGCCATTGCTCCACTTTCATAAAACTATTGCACCTTTGATTATCTACACCACAAATTCCAACCTAGCACATACAACTTTTGAATAGAGGTGCAGATAACATAATAGGCTAATCCTACCATGGCATTAGGGAATAAAACATGGGATACATAGCCAGGCTACACATTAGCTGTGATTATCTAAAAGGGAACGGGATTGCAGAATTGAGTTCGAGATATGAGCATCTCACCGCTCCTAGGATATGCTCTGGTAGCTCGTCCTCAGTTTCTCCCTGCATGCAGCACAGAGATTGATGAGCGGAAAAGAGATAGCAACAATACAAACCAAGTTGTGCACAAAGAACATACGGATAACAAGGCAAAATTACTATTCCAACATAATGGTATGCAGATTGCGCACCATGAGATAGAAAGCCATGGCGTCCACCAGGTTTGTGATGTATCCAAAGACCATGCATATCATAGTGATTCGGCTTTAAACGGAGCACATCACACCTTGAGATAGAAGGCCATGTCAACCACGAGGTTTGTGATGTATCCAAAGACCATGCCCATGATGCCTCGCACCACTGATGATGATGCCATGTTCACATCCACCTGATGTGTTAGGGAAGAACCAGAGGTTGCACGCATGTAACAACATTCGAAGTTAATTTCCTTCTCCTTCTTTCTGATAGTGTCATACTCATGTTTCTCAAAGTTATTCCTTGCCCGTGACCCCGTTGTGTGCCATGCGACATACGATATTCGTGTGACAGCAGCAGCACCCATCACCCCACCCACACACCTCAAAGTACTCCTCTGTGGAGTGGTAAGCCGTCTCCATCACCTGCCCCATCACCACATTGTGCGACCCCACTGCCTGCTTCACCAGCCACGAGCCCTGGGAACGTGCGCGGGTAGGGGTATACAGGGGGGTATGGGAGGTGGGTGGGTAGAGTTGCAAGGAGAGAGGTGAGTAATGTTCCAACGTGTTCCAGGGGGAGAGGTAAGCCGTCTCCATCACCTGCCCCATCACCACGTTGTGCGACCCCACTGCCTGCTTCACCAGCCACGAGCCCTGGGAAGGCGGGGAGGACAGGAGGACAGGACATTAATGGATTAAAGGACGGGCGAGCATGTGGGAAAAGTTCCCAACACAAGTCCTTACCTCAGGCACGGACGGCAGCAGGGAGAGGCAGTTGTTGCGGTACGAGTCGTCTGCCCCCAGAAACCGGCGCATGGAGGGCAGGTCGAGCATGTGGTAGGGAGAGGACAGCCACGAATATGACACACAGTCCTTACCTCAGGCACAGATGGCAGCAGGGAGAGGCAGTTGTTGCGGTACGAGTCGTCTGCCTCCACGAATCGGCGCATGGAGGGCAGGTCGAGTCAAGCACATGGCGGGGAAACAAGCGGCCAGGAATATGACAATCAGGGATTTGACAGTCAGGGAAATGCCATTCAGTGCTCACCTCAGGCACAGATGGCAGCAGGGACAGGCGGTTGTTGCGGTAGGAGTCATCTGCCCCCATAAAGCGACGCATGGAGGGCAGGTCGAGCACATGGCGCTCTGCTGTGAAATAGAAGACCATGGAGTAAACCTCCTTGCCTGCTGGGACCTGGTGGGAGAGAAAGGAAGAAGGACAAGCAGGACAAGGAGGGGAGACACAGAAGGACAAGGAGGGGAGACACAGAAGGACAAGGAGGGGAGACACAGAAGGACAAGGAGGGGAGACACAGAAGGACAAGGAGGGGAGACACAGAAGGACATGGCATGTAGAGCAGGTAATGCGGATAAGGCACGTGGCGCTCTGCTGTGAAATAGAAGACCATGGAGTAGACCTCCTTGCCTGCTGGGACCTGGTGGGGAGGGAAGAGGCAAAAGCCCAAGGCACTTAGTGCAGGAAGGAAGGTGCACGAATTAAGGCACACGGCGCTCTGCTGTGAAGTAGAAGACCATGGGAGGTTGATGTGGATGAAAAGCGGTATCCCTAGATTAATGGGGATGAAGAGCGGTATCCCTGGATTAATGGGGATGAAGAGCGGTACCTCTAGATTATTGGGGATGAAGAGTGGTATCCCTGGATTAATGGGGATGAAGAGCGGTACCTCTAGATTAATGGGGATGAAGAGCGGTACCTGAAGGTTGATGAGGATGAAGAACGGCGCCTGGTCTCCATAGCAGGCCCGTACTCTCTGAATGGAAAACATTCGCAGGTAGGAGACAAAGAATGGAAAGCGTCAATTGCAAGGCCTGCTTTCAGCATCGAATAATGACTACACCACACAGCACCAAGCAACACAGCTCTGCACAGCACAGCACCACACAACACTGCACAGCACCGCATCACACACCCCCCTGAGCTCACCTGCACGAGGCACTTCTTGTGGGCTGCCACGTGGGCAGCAGGGTGCTTCCCTACAACCGCACTCCAGACCACAAAAGACCAATTACACAGCACCGTACTGCACGCCACCGCTCAGCACCGCATCACACCCCCTTGACTCACCTGCACGAGGCACTTCTTGTGGGCTGCCACGTGGGCTGCAGGGTGCTTCTCTGGCCGCAGCCAATCCACCGCCACCAGCTGGCACAGCGGCTCGCCAGCTGGCGCCTGCACAGCCACAGCAACGCAGGAAGAAGCGGGATAGGAAGGGAGGGGGGGGAAGACACGTACGTGTCACAGGGAAGAGGCTACAGAGAACTTTTGAGTCGACTCAAAAGAGCTGACTTTTGAGTCGACTCAGAAGGGAGGGGAAAGACACGTACGTGTCACAGGGAAGAGGCTACAGAGAACATTCTTGCCTTTGCCTATCTATCCACAACCACTCTAACCACCACCCACCATGAAGCACACATCCAACCTCCAAGCTCCCATCAATAAGATAATTCCTGTTCCTCAGCTTGTACACATTGCAAACCGACTAGCTCCAGGCTTCTTGCCCTTACCCAAACACACACCCCCATGTGTGCACTCTCACCCTTGCAAAATGTACCCACCATGAAGCACACAAACACGCAGCACGCTGCCGTCTGTGAGATAGCTCCTGCTTCTCTGCTTGTACACGTTGCAAGACGGTCTGCTCCAGCAGTTCCTTCCCTTGCCCATCCACACACCCAAGCATGAGTTACACTCATACTCTCGTAAATTCACCCACCATGAAGCACACAAACATCCACCATGCTGCCGTCTGTGAGATAGCCCCTGCTCCTCAGATTGTACACATTGCAGTCAAGTCGGCTCCAGTAGTTCCCTCCCTTGCCCATGCCGACGGCCATGCTGCAATCACCCTATCAGCACGTACCATGCTGCCGTCCGTGAGATAATTCCTACTCCTCAGCTTGCACACATGGCAGTCTGACCACCACTTGCAGTGCTTGCCCTTGCCCATCCAACATTTGAGGCGCCTAAAAAATTGCGGGATAGGATACGACTTTTGAGGCGCCTCAACGTGGCAGTCTGACCACCACTTGCAGTGCTTGCCCTTGCCCATCCAACAACCACTCTAACCACCGCTCACCATCAAGCACGTACGCACACACACACACACACACACACACACACACACACACACACACACACACACACACACACACACACACACACACACACACACACACACCATGCTGCCGTCTGTCAGATAGCTCCTGCTCCTCAGCTTGTAAACGTTGCAATCCGGTCGGCTCCAGCAGTTCTTGCCCTTGCCCGAGTGGTTGGGGGCCACAGAGCCGCTCAGCTTGGTCCAGTCGATGAAGAGAGGCAGAGAAAGGGAGTCAGGGGTCAGGTCCCGAGGCACATGGGACCAGTCTGTGGTAGAGGGGGTGGAAGGGGAAGTGGAGAGGGAAACAGAAGAAATGCTGGTGGTTGAGAGACATGGACTTGCTCAGCTTGCTCCAGTCGATGAAGAGAGGCAGGCAGAGGGAGTCTGAGGTCAGCTATCGAGGCACGGAGCGCCAGTCTGAAGTAGGAGGCGTGAGGGAGGAGAGGCAGGAGAAGCAGGTGGTTGGGGGTCATGGAGCCGCCCAGATTGCTCCAGACGATTAAGAGTGAGAGGGAGAGGGAGTCGAGGTCAGTCAGGTCTCAAGGGACCAGTATGGAAGGGGAAAAGGCAGTTGAGGAGAGATGCGGGGGTCAGCTCTTGAGGCACGGCGGTCCAGGTTTATCAGGGACAAGAAAATCAGCATTGAAGAATCAGCAAAAACTAGCCAGCATCTGGGCCGTCCACTCACCATCAGGGAGCTTAGAAGCATCTACACCGTCCACCATGACTCCTGACAGGTCCCTCTGCAGCACGCCCTGAGGGAGAAGCAGAGGGAGAAGAGGAGGGGATGCAAGGGTGATATAAAATGAATCTTAAACATGAGCACCTGCTGCCCACCATGTCTCCTGACAGGCCCCTCTGCAGCACGCCCTGAGGGAGAAGCAGAGGGAGAAGAGGAGGGGATGCAAGGGGTATGATACGCCCTCCATACATCATGACTCCCCGTTAGTCGAAGATGATGAGTCATGATGAGTCATGATGAGTCATGACGAGTCATGAGGAGTCATGACGAGTGAGATTCGTGTTGTGTTGACTGGGGAGTGAGTTTCTAAAGAGCCCTCACTCGCCCGTCGACTCCAAAGGAATGAGCTGGGTTCAACTGGAAAGCGAGCTTTTTTTTAAGGGGGCGTGCGTTCGTACAGTACTCACCTCCTCTCCACCCTCCCCACCTCCCCAGATTCCCACCCCCCCCTTGCTTGCATGCTCATCACTCACATCACTAGACGTCTCTGAAGGAGCGTTGGTGCTGTCCATGTCAAGAATGTTGGACAGCGCTCGCTCGAACCTGGGAGTTCTCCTCCCATCCCCCCCCACCTCGCCACCTCCCTACCTCCTCACCTGCCCACCTCAACCTTCAATGCCTGTCACTCACATCACTGGACGTCTCTGAAGGAGCGTTGGTGCGGCACTCATAGAACTCACCCGGGTCCTTCATATCCAAAAAGTTGGACAGCGCTCAGTCCAACCAACCTGGGAGTTCTCTCTCCAACCCCCCCCCCCCCCCTACCTCGCTCTTCCCTCCCCCCCAACCTCGCCACCTCCCTGCCTCCTCACCTGCCCACCTCAGCCTACAATACTTGCCACTCACATCACTAGACGTCTCGGAAGGAGCGTTGGTGCGGCACTCATAGAACTCATCGGGGTCCTCCATATCAAGAAAGTTGGACAATGCTCGGTCCAACCTGGGGGTTCTCCTCCCATCGCCCCCCACCTCGCCCTTCCCTCCCGCTGCCACAGCTGCTGCCGCCGCTGCCACCACAGCCGCTGCCACCGCCCCTCCCAGTCCAGCCGAACCCCTATCCGTACTCACAGCCACCCCCCCTCCTGCTGCTCCCCCTATTGCTCCTCCTCTCCCTGTTCCCCCTCCTCCTCCTGTCTCCTCCTGGCTCTTCCCATCCTCTGTTCCGAGGCTAACCAGGGACGCCAGGCCCCACGTCCCCGAACCGGCTCCCGAACCTGACCCCGTGGCTGAGCCCGAGGCTAGGCCGGAGAAGATAAAGCCACCTGTGGGTCCGGTGCTGATAGCTGAGGTGGTGGGGAAGATGAGATGGCGTTGGATGCCCAGCGAGTAGTAGGCCAGAGGGGCGCCTCCCCTGCAGGCAAAATATTCTCTCAGGCCTGTTTAGGAGAGGGGGAAAAGTGGGGGACAGGAGACGAATAGGAGGTGGTGGGGAAGATGAGATGGCGCTGGATGCCCAGCAAGTAGTAGGCCAGAGGGGCGCCTCCCCTGCAGGCGAAGTACTCTCTCAGGCCTGGTGAACAGCAGTGGGAGTGGAGATGGGGAGAGATAGGAGGCAGTGGGGAAGATGAGATGACGCTGGATCCCCAAGGAGTAGTAGGCTAGGGGGGCGCCTCCCCTGCAGGCATAATATTCTCTCAGGCCTGTTGGGGAGGGGAATAACAAGGGCGACAGGCAAAGGGGAAGATCAAATGGCGCTGGCTGCCCAGGAAGTAGTCTCTTCCCTGCAGGGCGACAGGCAAAGGGGAAGATCAAATGGCGCTGGCTGCCCAGGAAGTAGTCTCTTCCCTGCAGGGCGACAGGCAAAGGGGAAGATCAAATGGCGCTGGCTGCCAAGGAAGTAGTCTCTTCCCTGCAGGGCGACAGGCTAGAGGGGCGCCTCCCCTGCAGGCGAAGTACTCTCTCAGTCCTGGTGGATGGATGGAACAGGGGGAATGACGAGTTGAGAGGGCTGGGGAAGATGAGATGGCGCTGGATGCCCAGCGTGTAGTAGACCAAGGGGGCGCCTCCCCTGCAGGCGAAGTTTGTTTTTGAGGTTTGGTGCAGGAGTGGGATGGGGGACAGGGGACAGATTGAGAGGCAGAACAAGGAAGATGAGATGGCGCTGGATGCCCAGGGAGGAGTAAGCCAGAATGAGGGGCTCCTCCCCTGCAGGCAAAATATTCTCTCAGGCCTGGTGGGGAGGGGAAAAGGGACGAGGATAGGAGGAAAAGAATTGAGAGGTGGTGGGAAAGATCAAAAGGTTCCTCATCAAATGGCTCCTCATCAAATGGCTCCTCATCAAATGGCTCCTCATCAAATGGCTCCTCATCAAATGGCTCCTCATCAAATGGCTCCTCATCAAATGGCTCCTCATCAAATGGCTCCTCATCAAATGGCTCCTCATCAAATGGCTCCTCATCAAATGGCTCCTCACCAAATGGCTCCTCATCAAATGGCTCCTCATCAAATGGCTCCTCATCAAATGGCTCCTCATCAAATGGCTCCTCATCAAATGGCTCCTCATCAAATGGCTCCTCATCAAATGGCTCCTCATCAAATGGCTCCCCATCAAATGGCTCCTCATCAAATGGCTCCTCATCAAATGGCTCCTCATCAAATGGCTCCTCATCAAATGGCTCCTCATCAAATGGCTCCTCATCAAATGGCTCCTCATCAAATGGCTCCTCATCAAATGGCTCCTCATCAAATGGCTCTCATCAAATGGCTCCTCATCAAATGGCATGTATATTCCAGGAGTAGTGGGATAGAGGGGCTCCTTTTGAGGCGCCTCAAAAGTGGGATAGAGGGGCTCCTCCCCTGCAGGCAAAGAAACAAATGGCACGTGACACATGGCATATGGCATATCACACAACAGACATTGCATGTATGTGACGCATGTGGCACGACACAATAACATACCAGCCACTCGGAGCAGCAAGGAGTCGCGGGGATGTGGGGGATGCGACGACAGGCCGATGCCGATCCATGAGGACCTCAAGGCATGGCCCACGGCAGATATCACATGGCAGACACATGACCCATGATACATGGCATGGCATGCAGGGGGTAAATCACCAGCCACTCGGAGCAGCAAGGAGTCCCGCAGATGTAACGAAATGATAGCACATGGCACATGGCACATGGCACATGGCACATCACACATCACACATTCACGACACAATAACATACCAGCGACTCGGAGCAGCAAGGAGTCGCGGAGATGCGCGGGATGCGATGACAGGCCGATGCCGATCCATGAGGACCACCCTGACACGTCCATCTCTAACACGTGCTCCACCTGGGGTGAGAGTCAGAGGGGGGGATGAATTGTCAGCTCATCAGTCCAGGCCACCCCTCAACCAATCCATGAGGACCACCCTGATATGCCCATCTCCAACACGTGCTCCACCTGGGGTGGGGGAGAGTCAGAGGGAGAAGATGAGTGGTGGCACTTCCACTCAGGTCATCTCAACCAATCCATGAGGACCACCCTGACACGTCCATCTCTAACACGTGCTCCACCTGTGAGGGGGTTGGCGGAGGGTAAACAGAGGCGATACCCGTACGTGAGGAAAAGAGTAGCACAGGCGCGGGGTGGGGACGAGATCACACCTCTCAATCAATCCATGAGGACCACCCTGACACATCCATCTCCAATACGTGTTCCACCTGGGGTGGGGAGGGGAAAGGGGGGAAGTGGGGGGTGTCAGATGGGGAAAAAAAGGTGGTGCAAAACCCTTTCAAGTCAACTCAGCAGTCAATGCAGGAAAGAGAGGTTTTGGCTCAAGGGGGGAGGCTTTGAGACGGCTCAAAACTACTCTGTTTACACATTGCAACAACCGCAGCAGTGCACAGAGGACGAGGCGCAGAGAGGAGGAGAAGAGCGGGGATGTTTTGAGGCGCCACAACAAGCGCGGCAGTTGCACAAAGGAGGAGAGCCGGGTAAGGTTTGCCTGCGAACGAGGCTTGCAGGGGGGGGGGGGGCGAGGCGCCAGAGGTGTCCCAATGCCCCATACACCAAGGAAGGAGCCCACACTTCGAGGGGCAGAGGTGCATGGGGCAGTTGGGACACCTCGAATCGAATACTCACACTGACCACACATACCAGTCTTACCACACTCAAGGAGGGCAGAGGGAGAAGGTCACCTGCGAACGCGGTTTGCTGGGTTACAGTGTGGTGCCACAGGTGCGCAGGGCAGGAGGGAGGGGTTGCACGGTTCAGTTGGGACACCTCGAATACCCACATTGGCCACACGTACCAGTCTTACCACACTCACCACACGCACCACACTCACCACAATCGAGGAGAGAGGAGAGGGAGAAGGGTCAGTCACCTGCGAGCGAGGCTTGCGGGGGGGCGGTGGGCCGCAGGTGCAAGGCTGGGGTGAAAGGGGGCCGTCGCTATGCTGCAGAGGTGATATGATATAGCCACCACCTGGTGTGGATGGGTACAGAGTGGTGAAAACTATGAATGACATAATGAGATGTGGTGCAGCAACGAGATGCGGTAGTTACTGCTTGGTGTGGTGTGGATGGGTGGAGAACGGTGACAGAGACGAGCATGTGAGCTAGAAAGAGTGAGGAATGCTTGCTGCAGGGGCGATATGATGCAGCCGCCGCCTGGTGCGGATGGTGGAGAGTGGTGATATAGGCGCGAAAATTCTTGTAAATAAGCGCACTCAGTACAGTGAAGATAAGAGCATTGACCGTAGATATGAGCACTCACTGTAGATAAGAGAACGAACGCAGCCCCACGGTTGACGGCACTTAGGGTGGTTCACAAACTTAAAGTTGACTCAACAATTGGTTGAGTCGACTCAACAGTCAGCTGTGCTGCCGATGGATAAGAATTTTCTGCAGGCAGGCCACTCACTGTAGATGAGAGCACGGACACGGCCCCACGGTCGATGGCACTTGGGGTGGCTGACGGACTTGAAGAACACGACTGGTGGCGGAGGGGAAGCAGGGTTGAGTAACAGGAAACGGGTAAAGGGAAATGTGCACGGGGAATGAGGAATCAGGAACTGAGATTCGGGGATGGCACTTAAGGTGGCTGACGGACTTGAAGAACACGACTGGTGGCGGAGGGGAAGCAGGGATGGGTAATGGAGGATGGGGAGTGGGGAATGCGGAATGAGGAATGGGGAGCCAGGAGATTGGGAGTAGGGAGCGGGGAATGCATAATAAGGGACTGCGAACAGGGACCCAAAAACTGGGATACAAGCACACACACAGAGCAGGGTAAATGTGATGTTTTCGCTCGTTAAGAAAAAAACAATACATGATGTCATGATGAACATTATGACGGATTGGAACCGATAACTAAGCGATTTTGAAAATGAGGCTTTGAGCCAACACAGGTTCGTCTCAGACATGTCCGGTAGGTTTGGTGAGGGCAAACGTGCAATCATGGGGTAGGGCCACAGATATACACACATGGGGGGTAGGGCCAGACGTACACACACAAACACACGGGGGATAGGGTCAGACGTACATACGGTAAGTTCCGTTTTCTTCTCTCTTCCAGTATCTTAGCAGACACAGGTCTCTCGATCTCGTCCACCTGAGCAGTAAATAGTGAAATAAAGAGGAGGATGAAATGAGAGAAAAGAGGAGACAAGAATAAGAAATCACACCAAACCAGCGTTGAACTACAGGAGTGGTATTGCGGCCTGCATGGATGGAGGCATGTGCCACTCCTTACAGTGAAGTTTGTTTTAAGCACGCATGCACTTACAGTGACGCTCGTTTCAAGCACATATGCACCACACCACACCCCCATTCGCCTTACAGCAAGGTCCGTTTCAAGCACACGCGCACAACACCATACCCCCATTCCCCTTACAGCGAGGTTCGTTTTAAGCACATGTGCACCACGTCTGTGTGGCCATCAATAGCCTCCACCACTCGCGCCTCTGCAAACATGGCGTCCCACCTGGCCACACAGTCACAGAGAGTGGGGGTGATGGGGACACACAGGAAGGGGTGGGGCACACAGTGAGGCTCCTGGGTAAGCAGGCAAGCCATGAGGCTCCTCGAAGTGTGACCATCAATGGCCCCTCCACCATTCGCGCCTCTGCAAACATGGCATCCCACCTGCGCACACGCACAGGGGGGGGAAATGGGGTTGTGGGGGAAGGGGACACACGCATGGAAGGTTAGATTAGACACACACAGAGTGCTGTCCTCATAGCCCCTCCACCACTCGCGCCTCTGCAAACATGGCATCCCACCTGTCCGCACATTCACAAGGGGGGGAAGAGGGGCGGCGGGGAGGGGACCCACACAGGGAAGGTTAGACACACACAGAGAGTGTTGCCCTCGAAGCCCCTCCATCCACCACTTGCGCCTCTGCAAACATGGCGTCCCACCTGCCCACATGCACACACAAATGCAGACAAAACCACACCCACACACACAACGGGAAATGGACACACAGAGTGTTGCGGTCCCTCAACATGTGGCCTCCACTACTCGTGCCTCCGTAGCCATGACGTTCCAATGCATGGGGGGGCGCGCATACAGAGAGGAATACACACTGGGGATTGCGCAGAGACAGGGTGATGAGAATTCCCAAAACACTGTGCATAGAAGTACGCATAGACTGATTCTCACGAAAAGACCCAAAAGCTCACGATACGCATAGAGGCCACTCACTCTGCTAACTCCTCCCCAAAGCTCATGATACGCATAGAGGCCACTCACTCTGCTCACTCCTCCCCAAAGCTCATGACAAGGTCAACTATCCAGTCTGGTGCGGCCTTCACCACTCCCACTGCTGACATGTGAAGTTTAAGGCGACTCAACGAGACACCTTTTCTAGTTGACTCATAGACCAGGCAGAAATACTCACTCTGCTCGCTCCTCCCCGAAGCTCATAACGAGGTCAAATATTTGGTCTGGTGCCGCCTTCACCACTCCCACTGCTTTCATCACAGGCAACTGGGGGATGGGAGGCAGGGAAGGGAGGCACAGGGTTGGCACAGGAAGGGTGCAATAAGGACTTGTGTCGACTCAAAGTCACCTAATATCTGGTCCGGTGCCGCCTTCACCACTCCCACTGCTTTCATCACAGGCAACTGGGGGATGGGAGGCAGGGAAGGGAGGCACAGGGTTGGCACAGGAAGGGTGCAATAAGGACTTGTGTCGACTCAAAGTCACCTAATATCTGTTCTGGTGCCGCCTTCACCACTCCCACTGCTTTCATCACAGGCAACTGGAGGATGGGAGGCAGGGAAGGGAGGCACAGGGTTGGCACAGGAAGGGTGCAATAAGGACTTGTGTCGACTCAAAGTCACCTAATATCTGTTCTGGTGCCGCCTTCACCACTCCCACTGCTTTCATCACAGGCAACTGGGGGATGGGAGGCAGGGAAGGGAGGCACAGGGTTGGCACAGGAAGGGTGCAATAAGGACTTGTGTCGACTCAAAGTCACCTAATATCTGTTCTGGTGCCGCCTTCACCACTCCCACTGCTTTCATCACAGGCAACTGGGGGATGGGAGGCAGGGAAGGGAGGCACAGGGTTGGCACAGGAAGGGTGCAATAAGGACTTGTGTCGACTCAAAGTCACCTAATATCTGTTCTGGTGCCGCCTTCACCACTCCCACTGCTTTCATCACAGGTAACTGGGGGAAGGGAGGCAGGGAAGGAAGGCATGACACAGGAAGGATGCAATGTGTCAACACATACTTACACAGATGGGACGCGCGCGCGCACACACACACACACACACCCGAAACCCTCTGGTACCTTGTATAGGCGGTGGAGAATGGGCGTCCTGCTGGCCTCCTCAAAGAATGGATACACAAGAGAACTCGCTTTAGAGTTGTTGGTTTGCGCAAACAGCCAGCCAGCTCCCATATTTGGTTGGTACCTTGTATAGGCGGTGGAGAATGGGCGTCCTGCTGGCCTCTTCAAAGAATGGATAGACAAGAAAACTCGCTTTAGAGTTGGTGGTTTGCGCAAACAACCAGCCAGCTCCCATATTTGGTTGGTACCTTGTATAGGCGGTGGAGAATGGGCGTCCTGCTGGCCTCTTCAAAGAATGGATAGACAAGAGAACTCGCTTTAGAGTTGTTGGTTTGCACAAACAACCAGCCAGCCCCCATATTTGGTTGGTACCTTGTATAGGCGGTGGAGAATGGGCGTCCTGCTGGCCTCCTCAAAGAAACGAAGCCCTGGAGGGGAGGGAGCGAGCGACATATAAGGAACATAGGCAGGCACCACAGAGTAGTGAGACTTGAGTCGATGGCAGCAGGCAGCAGGTGAGAATGACAGGAGCACAGCACAATCCCACCCACAGCACAAACATGATAAAAGTGATTTTTTGAGACGTCTCAAAAGGGGAGCACAGCACAACCCCACCCACCGCACAAACCGTTCTGGCAGCGGTTGAGACAACACTTGGAGGGCCACAGGGTGACATATGAGGACCACGGATGCCCAGCACAACAGGCTCACACAAGCGAAATTGGCCCACACACAGTATACACCCACAGCAGCCCAGCACGGACACTTAAAGCAGCGGTAGAGACAACACTCGGAGGGCGACAGGGTGACATAAGAGAATCAAGGATTCCAAACACATGAAGAAGCAAAATAGGGTCACACGCAGCAAACACCCACACCACTTCAGCCAGGCACGGACCGTTCTGGCAGCGGTCGAGGCGCCACTTGGATTGCGACGCAACAACAGCAGATGATGGGGAGGAGGAGGCGGGAGGAGGAGGAGGAGCGTGGGAGGACGAGGAGGGCAGCTGCTGCTGCTGGGAAGGCGGTGCATGGGAGCCTGGCCTGTCAAAAGATGATGCCACCCTGGTTGACCCTGCCACTCCCGCACCTGCCCCCCCTCCTGCCCCTGCCCCACCAACTGTTCCCTGCCCAGGGCCAACAACCCCACCGGAGCTTCGGGTGAGAGATAATGAGTCGAGGGGGGAGTGGGTGGGGAGGAGCGGGGACGAGGGGGATGGGGTAGGCTGGAAGGAGAGAGCGGGAGAGGAGCCCGTGGGAGGAGTGAGCATGCCGCTGCTGTCCCCCCCACTGCCAGATCCGCTGTCAGCAGCAGCAGGAGAAGCACCAGAAGCAGCAGCAGCAGCAGAGGCAGCAGCAGCAGCTGGCAGCACCGGTTGACAGGGCTGTGCTGCTGCACGCTTTGCTTGTGGGCCGATCGGAGGCAGAGAGGGGGAGATGGCGGGAGACAGGGAGGGGTGGATGGAAGGAGAGAGAGTCCTCGTCACACTAGCTGTGGCAGCTGCAGTGGCAGGGGCAGCAGCAGCCGCTGCAGCAGACGCGAGAGGGAGCATGGCCGCAGCAGCAGGATTCATAGCAGCAGCTGCGGGGAGCATAAGATTGGCCATAGAGGCAGCGGCGGAAGCAGGATTAGCAGCAGCGGCAACAGCAGAAGCAACAGGATCAGCAGCAGCGGCGGCAGCAGCAGCAGCAACTGGACCCAAAGCAGCAGCAGCTGGGAACATCATATTAGCCATCGCACCAGCGGCAGCAGCTGGATCGGCAGCAGCGGCGGCAGCTGCAGCAGCGGGATCGGCAGCAGCTGCGGCAACAGCAGCCGCAGCTGGGAACATCATATTTCCCATAGCAGCAGCAGTGGCGGCTGGATCAGCAGCAGCCGCGGCAGCTGCAGCAGCAGGATCGGCAGCAGCAGTGGCAGCAGCAGCAGCAGCTGGGTGGAAAGAAGCCACAGCAGGGAGGGCCAGATTCGTCACATCAGCAGACGAAGGTGGGGCGCCAAAGAGGGAATGAGCAGCGGCGGCTGGCGTGGCAAGGGATGGGGCGTGGGCTGAAATTAGAGAGCCAATGAGGTCCGGTGAGGAAGACGAAGCAGACTTAGCCTGCGGGGAACTGGGGTATGGGAGGCAGAGGCACATACAGAGACGGGGGGGAAGAGCAGAAGAGGTAAGGGATGTGCCTCGGGCTGAAGTCAGAGAGCCTATGAGGTCCGGTGAGGAAGACGAAGCAGACTTGGACTGTGGGGACCTGGGGTATGGGAGGGAGGCAGAGGCACATACACAGACGGGGGGGAAGAGCAGAAGAGGTACGGGATGTAGCGTGGGCTGAAATTAGAGAGCCAATGAGGTCCGGTGAGGAAGACGAAGCAGAATTTGCCTGCAGGGACCTGGGGTATGGGAGGCAGAGGCACAACAAGCAGGGATTGAGCAGTGGTAGTAAGGGATGTGATTTGAGCTAACACTGAAGAGCCGAAGAGGTTGGGTGAAGGAAGACGTAGTAGACTTAGCCTGTGGGGACCTGGGAAAGTGAGGCACAGGGACTAGCACGGAAGAGGGGAAGGGCAGGCAAGGCAGAGAGAGACGGACGGGGGGGTAAGGTGGGGCCTTGAGGGAGAGGAGAGATAACGTGCAAAGCATGAAGATTTTAGTTGGTTCAGGGCATGGCGTGTTTCAGGTTCAACTATTTGAAAAGGACAGGATGAAGGACGTGGTTGACAAAGCCCAAGGACTAGAAGAATACTAGGAGAATCATGCAATAAGCTTGCTGAGCTTGGGTGAAACGGGACTGGTATTTCAGCTCACCGTGACATTGGGCTATCATCTTGACCAGTCCGAGTGGACGGAACTTGTCGTGGTGACTTCGGCGGTTTTGAGGAATGTGATGGTGTTCGTAACGGTTGTAATGGGTGCGGCGGTTGTTGTAATGGGTGTGACGGTTGTGACGGCTGGGTTGAGGCGTCGGCCGCTGGGGTGAGCAGAGGCGGCGGCGGCTGTTGATTGGGTGGCAACAGGGGCGAATGGCATGAAGTGGCAGTGAAGGTTTAGGCATGAAGTGGCATTAGGGGCGAATAGAATTGATGGCAGTGGGGCTGAATGGCATGACATGTCAACAGGGGCGAATGGCATGACATGTCAACAGGGGCGAATGGCATGACATGTCAACAGGGGCGAATGGCATGACATGTCAACAGGGGCGAATGGCATGAGATGTCAACAGGGGCGAATGGCATGAAATGGAAAAGGAATAGGAGAAGAGAGGACCAACATGAGGAGAAGGAGGCAGGGACAGGGACAGAGGCAAGGAGTATTGAGGGACAGAGAAGATTCGCATAGAGCAATTCCTGCAGCTTGCAATTCCGGCAGCTTGCAATTCCGGCAGAACGAGGACATGACATACGCCATACTCAATCGGGAATGCCCAAATAAAGAAATTCGTCCAAGTGCCTTGTTAGACCTCAAGCTGACTAAAGCTGGCAGGGACATACAGCCTGGGTTGGCAGGCAGATACACAGACCAGAGTGAGTGCCTTGGTGATTGCATCGATCCACGCAGCAGCGTCCTCTGCACTCGGCGTTCCCAGCTGCAGACATGGATGGCAGAGCGAGATTAGTGGACGGAAAGAGAGGCCAGATTGGGGAAACGGATTGAGCAGACGGGCTAAAGCAGGCGGATTGAAACAGAACGAGTCACTTACAAAGGCATTTACGCTCCCTGAAATGTACACGAAAGCACGAACAGATTGCAAGCATTCCCGCCGACAAGAATACAAGCAGCACCTACTGACACGAGCACATGCAGCACCCACTGACACTTGTCTTCTGCTGCCACTGAACCCCCACCGGCCTCACAGCGAATGGGCAACATTTTAATGGGTATCCTGAGTCGGCCCAAGAACCAAGCAAGAGAAAATCATACGCATATCCACCCACCGACAAGAGCACATGCAGCACGCACCGACACTTGTCTTCTGTTGCCACTGGAGCCCCCAGCAGGCCTCACGGCGTGGAGCTTCTGCGGCTGCCTATCCTGCCACAGTTCAGACCACCACCCTCCCCACAGACTTGACTCCATCCTCTGAATACCCCCCCCTCCCCCTCCCATTCCCCCTCCTCCGCCGCTACCACCGCCATCCGCGCTGCTTCCTCCGCTTCCCCCTCCGCCAGCCAAGGAGCTTCCGCCGAATAAGCCTCCCCCGGTTGAGCCTCCACTGCCGAATAAACCTGTTGATGTGCGCGCCAGGTAACCGCTGCCGGTACCGGCTTCTGCTGAGCTGTCAGGGTCATCTTCTTCGTCCTCGCTAAGGTCATCCTCGTCAGTAGCATGGTGCGCCCCAGGCATGCCGTACAGACGCATGGTGTACAGTACCTGAGAGAGGAAATTGGTGGCATAAGCATTACAAAATATTAATTAAATGCCTCGGATTGTAAATGTAATTGTAGCAGATTTCAAGAAATTAAGCGTGTGTCAGACGATACCATGGAGACTGAAATTGTTGTTTCCCCACCTGACCGTTGATGACTTTTCTGCCCGTGTCCTCAACCCGAGCAGTGCCATCAAGCAAGCCCTCTCGCAGAGGTATCTGGTCAAGCATGGAAGGTGAAAACAGCATTACCGCTGAGTTAAGAATCTCGAAAATTAACCATGAAGATGACGCTCAAATCTTTGAGGATATGTTGCTCGATTTGTTTTACTACCATTGAATATTAGCAAGTGGAAACATTCTTTAGAGCAGAGTTTGACGTTGCGAAATTCCAAAGCGGTTTGTGAAAGACGGCTGCACGAGAAGAGCTGTGCTTTCGATCCTCGTGCCTATAAGCACCCAATAATTGGCCAGACGCCTCATCATGAATACCATATTCTACAAATCAGGTACAATATCGGACCATTGCCTCGATAAAACGCACCTCGTCTTCCTTATTGCGAAACTGCGCGAAGTATCTCCCTCGGAGCACGCAGAAAGTCAACTGGCAATAAGTGCCTTCACCAGACCTGAAGCTGCCGAACCTATAGAGGTAACCGTCCATTACCATCTCCTCCATACTTAACCGTTCCTCAGATAGCGATGAAATTGCTACAACGTGTTATGATTCTTCGCAGTGATTCTGTCTGGACAGCAAGTTGCGAAAACAAAAACGAAAAAGCGTGAGCGGTTGCTAAGACGACCTGGTTTCCTGCTGCTTCAAGCCCTAGCCTGAAAGCTACCTACTCGAGCTGCTAAAAATAATGAGTTGTGACGAACCTCTCATCTGAGAGGCTAGCTAATGGCGGCTACTTCCCAGCTGCTAACTAGCTCCATGATTACATTTGGGAAACTCTGCTTGTGGAGTTTGTTTTAGCTTGGCAGCGCCACTAATCGCAAGACAATCGCAAGGGGAAGCAATTGCATAAAGTATTCGCGAAGGAATGGCCAGGGGGACTGCGAAGGGGAGGTGGGGCACTGGGAGGGGTTGGATTATGCGGGGGAAATGCGGAAGTCGCTGCGGAGTGGCGCAATAGGGGCGTCGGTTGCCTGTCAGCTCACCACCACCGTGGCTCCGCAAAGAAGAGGGCTTTTGGGATTGGCTGGCAGGTACCTTTTACCAAGTCGCGGTCAACAAGCAGTTGCAACATTGAGGCTGTTTACACGGTCGGATCGAGACAATGGATTTCATCTGACGGTTCATATCTATGTTTGTGACGCGACAAGGTTGAGTTTCGCTGCCATTCCCGCACTTTTCCGTGGTTTCAAAGCCAATCAGGGCCTGCTTTATTTTTGCGCGGGAAAGTATGAGCCTGTGCCGAAGTGCACCAGACGCCATTTATAAAACGAGATTCATAGATTGTTTACAGACAAATGGTCATTAGCAACGTGCAAAAGCATCACATTCATTTTTGGATTGACATGGGGGTCTTCACCCTCAGCCATTTATTATGCTAACCTAGAACCAACAAGAAACCTTAATGTTAGTAACTCCTTGCACCTTGCGAGTTGCAATGCCACAACATTAGGTTAAACATATTATACATGCATTGAGTCGTGTCATGTTCCCTCGTGTCACTGCTACACGGCAAACCACTTCCTCATCAACAAATCATGCTCCTTGTAACGAGATTGCCACCCCAGAGCTCTCAAATCCCAAGGGAGCAGCCCTGCCTGTCTTGCTTCCACACCTCTTCACTCCCAACCCACTTCCAAAACCACCCCCAGAGGCATCACCGTGCATGTCTGCTACCCTGCCCGGGTGGTTCAACTCAACATGTTCCCCACACTCTTCCCCCTCCCCTGCCTCTTCCCCCTGCCCTTCTCCCTCCACCTCCCCCTCCTCGTTCAACTCATCAGACCCCACCTCCTCCCACACCTCATCATCACTCTCTTCCTCCTCCCCTCCATGCCCTTTGCCCCGCACACTTGCCCTGTATGCAGCGAGACTGCCATTCACCCCCACGTGGCTCCACGAGTTGTTACCCGGTAACAGGAAATCCCCGCTGATAGGCGGAACAAAAGCCCCATCCAACGACGCCGCTGCATCTGCCGCCTCGGCCGCAGATGCCCGTTTTTCTGCCCGGCGCTCCTCCCTGCTACCCGAATGCGCATCCCAGCTCGGGCTTTCCACCAGAGGGTCCTTCTCTGTACCGCTACTAGCCCCTCTTCCTTCTGCTGCCTTGGCTGCTTTCTTCATTCGCTTGGCATGCACTTGACGTGGCAGCACATCGAATATGAAATTTCCCCCTGCAGTGGGTCACAGGCAGAGCAGTTAGGTTTTTAGTTGACTCAAACACAATTTTCATTCGCTTGGGATGCATTTGATGCCACGGTACATAAAATATCAGATTTTCTTCTGCAGTGGGTTGAAGGGCCAGCCAAAGGAGCAGATGCTCAATGAAAGAGAACCGGGGGCCAATCTGCTCTCGAATAAAGATGACCCGCAAGGCTAGCTGAATCCCACACCCGAAACACGAAACTCACCGTTCCAGATGGAGGCAGCGATCTTGAAGATCTGGAAGAGTGCGTGGAAGCGGTAGCTGCAGAACATGGGCACTGTGAGAGCTACTGTGGCCACCTGCAGAATACAAGGCAGAGGAGGCAAGATGAGAATCTTGTCAGACGAGTCAAAACAGCTTGTAGCAGCAGAACATGGGCACCGTGAGTGAGGGCAACTGTAACAACTTCCCTCTGATTCCCATCGTGCTCCCCGCCAACCCACCCTGGCTCCCCAAGCCCAATTGCTCACCGTGAAGACGCCCTGAATGAGCGGTACATGAGGAAGCGGTGCGAATCCCCCAGCACGCCACTCAGCCACCATCAAGAGTTGTTGTTTGTCCTATGATTCCTTGCCGTACTTTCCCTACAGTTGCCAGCACTACGAACTCACCGTAAAGACGCCCTGAATGAGGGCGTACATAAAGAAGCGGTTCGAATCCCCCAACACACCGCTCAGCCACCACCAGAAGTTGTTGGCACGGGAGGCCTTCTTGGAAAGTTCCCGGAATGACGTCATCACCTCTGGGTCCTTCACCAGCCGACGCTTCCTCAGCACCTCCACCACCAACCAATAGAGGATCTGAAGGGGGGAAAGGGGGAGGGGGGTAAGGGAGGGATACGCGTGGGATGGGAGAAGGAGAAGGAAGAACCGGAATGCGGCTCACAGCCTTCTTGCACCAGCCGATGTTTCATCAGCACCTCTACCAGTAGATGATCTATAGCAGGTGTGGCGGGACGGGATGAGTGGGGAAGCGGGAAATGGGAGGAAGATGAGTGGGGTTGCGGGAAAGGGGAGGGAGATGAGTGGGGTTGCGGGAAAGGAGAGGGAAATGAGTGGGGTTGCGGGAAAGGAGAGGGAAATGAGTGGGGTTGCGGGAAAGGGGAGGGAGATGAGTGGGATGGAAGGAGAAAAAAGAGCAAACGGGTCACCGGGTGAGAGTGGGATGGAAGGAGAAGGAAGAGCAGAACGTCTCGCCACACCTGCCACAGGCTGTAGGCAATGTAAGCACGACAAGCATCCACACCCACAGCTCGCCCATACTCGCCACGTGCAGCCACGTGCAGCCACGTGGGCCACGGGCTGTACCATTCCAAACCGCGGAGCTTTACACCCAACCCCTTTTGCATGGCTCACACTACGCGATCAGAAGTGTCTCACCCACCGTACCTGCCACAGGCTGTAGGCGATGAGCGGCACGACGAGCATCCACACCCACAGCTCGCCCATACTCGCCACATGCGGCCAAGCAGGCCAGGGGCCCGTGTCGTCCGCTGAGTGGTGGTGGAAGGTCACCGGGTCCCACCAGCGGATAATGAAGATGACAGTACCGGGTAACAGGTGTATCAGCACGCTCACGATCTTGTCCACTGAGCTGAACACCAGGCTGCACCGCCATACAATGAGCGCCCAGGCTAAGGGACCCTGCGGGTGGTGTTGGAAAGTGGGGGGGGAAAGAGGGGTGGGGGAAAAAGGGGGGGGGGGGGGGGGAAGGGGGGGAGGGGGTCGGAGTCGACTCCAACAGCTGAACACCAGGCTGCAGCACCATACGGTGAGCGCCCAGGCCAAGGGACCCAGTGGATGGTAGTGATGGTGGTGGTGTGGGGGGGAGGGGAGCGGGGGGGGGGGGGATAGGGGGTGGGGAGGGATGGGTGGGGTGGGGGTGCGGCGCCATACGAAGAGTGCCCAGGCCAACGGAACCTTTGTGGGTGGTCACGGGTAAACGGATTGGAAGGTATAAGGACGGGGCGGGACGAATGTGACTGGGATGGGGATGGGAGGGGCAAAGCAAGGTTCGCGAAGAAGAGCGAAGGATTGACGAAAAGGATCGGCAGCACTACACACCTTAAAGAAGGCGACGCAGAGGGGGAAGAGGTGCTGACTCGTGGCACTTAAGGCAACCCAAAGAATGCGTTTGAGTTGACTCGACAGTCAGCTTGACGACAAGGTTGGTACACACCACAACACACCACACCACACCACACCACACACCTCAGAGAAAGCGAAGCAGACGAGGAAGAGGTGCTGACTCATGGGGAAGAAGACGAGAAAGGCCACCAGAATCGCATTCGCGTAGTAACAGAAGTCCTGCAAGCCATCAGACGACACCGATTATGCGATCAGTGCGAGCAAAATTCCATGTGATACCACTGTTTGAAAAATAAATGGAGAAAAAAAAAGTAACAAAAAATACTTACGAGAAGAAAATAGTGCCATTTCTTGCTGCGGTAGTAGATCCAGCGGAGGGGTGTGGCCATGAGGAAGAAGGCGGCGTATAAACGAGGAACGTCATAGGGCCCTGCCAGCCACAGCAGCTCCCACAGTCTATTAGCCGTAATAGGACGATAAAGACTACGCTCCGACACATGATTCCGACTGTGAAGGATGGTTGGGAAATATCAGTCTGTAACTTCCAAGTGGGCAATGAACTCACGGGATCCGAGGAGAAAACAGAAGATGCCGAAGCAAAGAACGCCTAAGCAGTATGTAACCTGCTCAAGAGACGAAAAACAAAAGCTTTATTAAGCTTGACAGTGAAGGTCTAAGACTGCAGAAGAAAACAACAAGAACATTTCAAAATCCATTTACTTTGGAGATCACGTGTTCGAGCTCGTCGGCTTTTCGTGCAAGGCGCTTCGCCTGCCGCGACAGGACCGCCTTAGTTTGCACAAGCACCTGATTCGCACAAAACGTACAACAATTTACGGAAACAAGAGGAATATGCAGAAGGAATCGGGAACATATTCGTGTCCACACACGCAACTTCGATGAGACAATAATCGAGTTACACGTGGAAAAAAAAAGCAGGAACTAAAGGAACTCACGCGTGACAAAACGTAAGCTGCTTTTGACAATTCTAAAAGGAACATACGCGTGACGGAATGCGAGTTCGTCGGAGGCGCGGACTGCCGGCTGGCGGGTGCACGTGAGGATGAGTCAGTGAATGGAAACGATGCTCGTCTCCCGGCTTGTGCACCTTGTGACCCATGGCCGGGATGAATTCCCGACTGAATTTCCAATACTCTAAAGACTCCAATGACTTTTGAGTATACGACTAAACTACCAACGGGCGCTTTCCTGTAGTCTCGAACTCAGGCCAAACCCAGAAATTGCGTTACCGCTGAGAGTACCTTATCGACTATCGCGAAAGTTTTAATCCCACGAAAAAACACCAGGGTACTATTCTATGTGGCGAACTATGCGACAAGTAGGTAAAACAGGAAGAGACGCTCTGACACCAACACGCACTGATGATTTTCAAGTGTGCGTGAATAATCGCGACGGCTGATTGTCACGGATAAATCGTTTCACTCGGAAAAAATTGTCCACGAAGGAAAAACACGTATGCTTGTTTAGACGCCTTTCAGTGACATGGGCTGGTTGCAGGAGATGCTGTGATGGTTGAGACGAACAGATAGCAAGGAAATGGTTATGGTACTAGCTAGAAGCTGGCTATTGCTGAGAACGGTTGAAGTTGGGAGATGGTGATCGTTTGTTGGTGATTGTTTGACTGGTGGGTGAGCGCTGACGAGTCACGGGAGTGAGCTTTGATGGGTGAGGCGGGTGGGTGTGTGGGCGGCAGAGGCGAGGGGAGGAGGAGGCTGCTGCTGAGGAGTGGGATAGGGTGGGGTGGGGTGGAGTGGGGTGGATTGCGGAGGGGAGAACGCTCGTTCGCTTTTCAGTATCAAGTTTTGCTGGGGTGGAGTGGGGAGGGGATCCGTTTGTGGTGGTGTGTACAGTTCACTCCATGCAGTCAGCAGTTCCATCCTAGGATGGATTCACTATCGGGCAGACGGTTCGACACTGATTTCACCCACGGTTTTCGTTTGGGCAGCTCGAAGAAAACAGTTCTCTGGTGCCGTTCCCGCCAATAGGTATTCTCGATGCGCTTTCACACGTGCTGACACATTGGAGGGCAGGGCAGAAAATGTGCCCACGAATCGGAGTCGGTGTGCGTGCGCGTCCACCAAGCCCAAGGCCGTTTTCGAGAAAGTGGCAGAGAATCTCGAGGGGGGGAGGGACCTTCTTGCAAGGCAACTCGACAGGAACTTTTCAGCCGATATTTCAAAACATGTCCAACGGTGACGTGTTCTGTGGGCTCGGAAATCACTTGCTTAGCCGACACGTCAGAAAGCGGGACACGATGGGCTAACAAGAGGGCAAAGCTGACGCAACCCCACGGATGAGGAGTATCTGAGTCACGCCACGGTTATTTCGAGGCTGAAAGTGCAGCCAGTGGAATTTGCCTGCTGGCTCCTTGGAGAAAGTGGCGCGCATTGCGTGGAAGCGGATAACCTGGTCCAAAGAGGTCCCCGATGGTTCCACTAAAACATCTGCCATTATTTTACGAACTGTACTAGTTGTAGCACTCCAAGTAAATCTTCCATATAAAATGTCACATACATTAATGGTAATAGAAACTTCAAATGTTTTAGGCTAAGCTGGAGCCTCTCTAGTAACGAGCCTAATTCGATGGCTCCAAGGAATCCAACATCGCTTGCAGTTTTAACTGTACTCAGAAAATTGTCAAATAGAATCACCTACTTGGCATTTGAAGATTCAGGTTCAGAGGTTTCAGGCTAAGCTACCAGCAGGGTATGTGCCTCAATCGCAGATTCAATCTGAACAGAATCCTAACTTGATGGCTCCAGTGAATCCAACCTCGCTTGCAGTCGTGTAGCTGACTCCTCCAACTCCTCCCACTCTTGCTCCAGCTCTGTCATTTTCACCAGAGCAGCATCCTTCATCTTTTGAATTTTCATCACTCGTTCCACATCACTCCCAGCTTCCAGCATCGCCCCATCATACGACGCAATGGCTGCATCCCCCTTCTCCAGAGTGGCGAGTGTTTGTTTTATCTTGGTGCGTACCTGAGACAAATCACAAAAAGTGAACATCAAAATATTACAAACTGTCGTTAAAAACACATGCAACATGTTTCGGGGTTGAGTCAAACAAGCCAGCCGATTCAGCCATACCTGTTGCAGCTTTTTCTTCACCTTCTTCACCTCTACACTCTGTTGAAACGCCTGCGAGGATGCTGCTCCGTTTCCCCCCACCTCACCTCCCCTCCCTCCCTTTCCCCCCCCTCCTCCCAGGCCCCCCATCCCTGCCAAACCCGCCAGCCTGCCACCAGCAGCAGCAGGCGCAGCAGAAGCACCACCACCAGCACCAACAGCAACAGCAGCGCCATTGGCACCGGATTTGTCACCCTCCCCTGCAGTCACATCTTGAGGGAGAAGCTCAAAGACGCAGCTTCCAGTGCCGTCGACGCGAATGAGCTGCGTGGGCTGGAAGAGCTCGCAGAAATCATGGTCGTGGGAGACCACCACCACCGCACCTGGTAGAAGAGAGGATGAAATGAAAACACATGGGTTTCGACAAATCAGCAGGGTTCCAGAGCCCTTACAAATCAGCAGGGTTCCAGAGCCCTTATGCGAACGAGTGTGTTTTTGAGACGTCTAAAAAACACTCCCATTTCACGGGGTTCCAGAGCCTTTATGTAAGTGAGTTGCGTGGGCTGGAAGAGCTCGCAGAAATCATGGTCGTTGTGGGAAACCACCACCACCGCACTTGGAGGACAAAGGGTTGTGTTTTGCGGGGAGAAACGGGGGATATGTGTGCAGAGAGAGAATGATACATCGTGGCAGGCATACAGCAAGCTCCCAGAGCTGTCAATACAAATAAGCTGCATGGGCTGGAAGAGCTGCCAGAAGTCGTGGTCGTGGGATACCACCACCACCGCACCTGCAGGGAAGGGTAGTGTCTCACAGGCAGACGTGAGAGAAAGGTGCAAAGAGAGGGCCATGAATCGTGGCCGGCAGACAACAAGCGCGCAGACCCGTAGATGAGAGTGAGCTGTTCCTGCGGAGATGCCATTATAGTCAGCCTATCCAAGCAGGCTACGTGAAGAGAGGGTAATTTTGAGACGTCTCAAAAATACCCTCTCTTCACCAGACCCGTAGATGTGAGTGAGCTGTTCCTGCGGAGATGCCATCATAGTCAGCTTATCCAAGCAGGTTGCACTTTCACGAGGTAGACCACACCTTTGAACTGCTGTAATCCTAATGCCACGGCTACCATAATAGCCCTATAAGAATGGTTGTCTTTTTATGTTTTAGAGCACCTTGAAAACATCCAGATCCAATAAAACACACCTTTGAACTGCTGCAATCCCGAGGCCAGCGCCATCATTGCAGCCTTATCCAGATGGCTGCTTTTTTTGGTTGGAGGCGCCTCTACAATGTATGCGCCTCAAGAACTCAAATCCACGGGAACGCACCTTTGAACTGCTGGCTGGAACGCAACTTTGAACTGCTGGCTAGAACGCAGCTTTGAACCACTGGCTGGAACGCACCTTTGAACTGCTGGCTGGAACGCACCTTTGAACTGCTGGCTGGAACGCACCTTTGAACTGCTGGCTGGAACGCACCTTTGAACTGCTGGCTGGAACGCACCTTTGAACTGCTGGCTGGAACGCACCTTTGAACTGCTGGCTGGAACGCACCTTTGAACTGCTGGCTGGAACGCACCTTTGAACTGCTGTAATCCCGAGGCCAGCGCCATCATTGTCGTCCTATCCAGATGGTTGGACGGCTCGTCCAATAGCAGTGCGTTGTGCGGCCGCAACAACAGTCCACCCAATGCCGCCCGCGCCTTCTCTCCTCCCGACAACGCTGAAATCGGCCGCAGAGCCGCTGGGCCGGATAGGCCGAGAGTTCCCAGGGCGGTACGGCCTTGCTCGTTGGTTACCAAGGGGTTGTGCTCTCGTGCAACCTGGGGGCAGGGGTAGCAGAAGAGCATCCAATGCATGATGAGGTGATTGCTTTAAGGGATCCCAGGGCGGTACGGCCTTGCTCGTTGGGTACCAACGGGTTATGCTCCTGTGCAACCTGGGGGCAGGGAAAGTGTTACAGACAAGATTTTAGTGAGAATTAAGGCAGACTTTGAGTCGACTCAAAAGCAGAATTAAGGCAGACTTTAAGCCCCCTAACAATCTCTTTCATTGGGTATTAGAGGGCTTTGCCTCCTGGCGAGCAGGGGACAGTGGGACAGGAGACTGGTCTTGCGAGAGAACATGCCTAAGCTTGCCAGTAACATACCTAAGCTAGGTCTCAGGGAGAACCACCCATATTGCTCACACTGAGAAATTAGTCTAGAGCAGTCACGTCCTGAGGCAAGTCCTGAGCCAGGTCTTGAGAGAACACGCCTAAGCTCACTAATGACACGCCTAATTGCGAAACCCACTCACACTGATCACGTAATCCAGTGCCGTCACGTCCTGAGGCAGTTCTTGAGCCAGGTCCTGCGAGAACACGCCCAAGCCAAGCTCACCACCACTTATACGGAGCACCACTCACACACAAACCCACTCACACTGAGCACGTAGTCTAGAGCAGTGACGTCCTGAGGCACATCTTGAGCCAGGTCCTGCGAGAACATGCCCAAGCTCGCCACCCTCACCCATGCGCACACGTAAGGCTCGGTAGGATAACGACTCACACAGAAACAGCACTCACACTGAGAACGTAGTCCAGTGCAGTGACGTCCTGAGGCAGGTCCTGAGCCAGGTCTTGAGAGAACACGCCCAGGCTCGCCCCCTCGCCCGTCTCCCTCTCTCCTGCCATCAGCTCTGCGCCTTCCCCTGCAGCCATGGCCTTGAGAAGCGTTGACTTCCCCGCTCCGTTTGGACCAACGATTAACTGCCACGTGGCAGTTAGGGAGTATGACATAGCAAGGGAGAGCTGAGTGGTGTCCACATTGACTAGAATTGACCAGCTTTGAGCGCTGACCAGGAAGGATTGACCAGCATTGACCCGTATCAGGTAACAAGGAACAACAAAGGAGGGGGGGGGGAGGAAGAGGGAGAGGTGGGTGCTTACGGTTCTCGTGCCAGTGTCAATGCTGAAGCTGACGTGTTGAATCTTGTACCCGCATTGACTAGCATTGACTAGCATTGACTAGCATTGACTAGCATTGACTAGCATTAACTAGCATTGACTAGCAT